AGGAGCACTCCTCGGGTCGCCAGGACCATCAGAAATCGGCTCAGGACTACCGCCGCTCGGCCTGGCTCCGTCCCAGTTGGGGCCAGACTAGACAAGGGTCGCAGAATCGCACCGCATCGCCGATGCATCGGAGATGTGCGGCTCCACGTGCAGCCCAGCTTCCTCCGCCGCCGCTGGTCCGGCGGCGGCGCGGCCTGGGTCCCATTCCCCCCCCCACGCTTCCCTCCGCCCTCCTCCTCCTCCTTCTCCTCATCCTCCTCGTCCTCCTCCTCCTCCTCCTGCTGAGGTCTATTCCCAGGGGCCCAGGAAATACGCCCAGGCAGGGACCGGCCTAGCTGCAGGCCAGAGGCGCTGCCCGCCGCCTTGGGGGCGCAGACGCCCAGACCCGTCCCCTGCTGTCGAGAGCGCGTCCTCCTCCTCCTCCTGCTCCTTGTCCGCCTGCTCCTCGCGAGAAGGGTCCTCCTCGCGAGGAGGGCCAAGAGCAAGACCAGGAGGACAGGAGAGAAGGCTCCTCGCGAGGAGGTGCCCCTCTCTCCTGCCCTCCCTCTCTTGCTGTTGGCCGCCTCACCCCCCCCCCTCCCGAGCCCGCGTCGCTCCTCTCCTCCTCCCCCTCGCCACCGCCGCCGAAGCCAACGCTTGGCATCGCTCGGACGTGTGCATTTTGCCTCCGGCGAGGACCATCGAGGAGCATCCTTGATCACTTGGCGACAAAAAGCCACGCACGACACCGAAAAAAGCACAGGGAATGGACGTCCGAGCGATGGCCAGTTCGGGTAAAGCCAGGACCCCCTGTCAAGGGGAGCTGGTCAGTGATTGGGCCCCGAAGCCCAAAGTATTGATAGATGGATGGGGATCACTGAGCCAGGTCTGCCGTAGCTGGTGCTTTTTCGGGTGACGGCCATTCCGGTTAGTGGAATGGGACGGGGGGGGCGTCCCCGGTACTGATCACTAAACCAGGTTCCACTAGACCCAGTTCTGCCAACGCCCGAGTTCTGCCAACGACCCAGTTCTGAACGCCGCCCCAGAAGCCCCCCGCGCCGCCGAGGCCGCGGCCACGGGCGCGCCCGAGGCGGCGGCCGCGGGCGGCCCGCGGCGGCTGGAGGCCCCCTCGGCGGCGGGCGCGGGCGCGGCGCCGCGCCCGGCCCTGGCCAGCCTGCTGATGGTGCGGGCCGAGGACGCCCTCTCCGCGCGGGCTGCGGGGGAGGGCATCATCACCAGGGGGGCCACCATCACCAGGAGGAGGAGGAGGAGGAGGAGGAGGAGGAGGAGGAGGAGGAGGAGGAGGAGGTGGTCTGCCTGGCGCCGTCCTCCGCGGCGGGCCGCGGGGGAGGGCGGAGCGATGCCACCAGCATCAGGGGGGCCACCCCCCCAGACCCCCCTTTCGGGTCACGAGACGCAGCACGGCGGGAGGTGTGCCCTGATTTTCGGCGCCTGGGGGCCCTCATCAGCGGCGCCCTTGTTCCACTTCTACCTTAGACGAGTTGTGGGTGGACCAAGAAAACATGATTTCCGCCGGGGCCCCCGGCGGACAAGCGGAGATACGAGCGCGGTCGCGCGCGACCCGCCGCTGGTAATAACGTGAATGCGCGGGCGTCGCGGCGACGGCGACGGCGACGGCGGCGCCTGCGCCGACGGTGACGCCGACGGCGGCGACGGCGACGGCGAACATCGCGGCGCCGGCGGCGACGGGGTCCGGGCCCACGGGCGAAGTTGCGCCCCGCCGTCGTTCTTGGAGTCCCGCGCCAGGTTTTATGGGAGGAGCGAATTTTGTGGCCCCAGTTTAACCCCAGCCGTCCTTCCGCATTGCGAAAGCTCCCTTTTCACTTCCGTAAATCGTCGTTTTTGTTTCTGAATGTATTGAGCGGCGCCCCTTTACTAAAGCCGTTTCCTCGCTTTGGTACAGCTGTTTCTTCGCTTTAGTAAAATTGCCGCCGCGCTTTAGTAAAGCCGTTTCCTCGCTTTCGTAAACAGCGCGGTCTGCCGTAGTAAAGCCCTGGGGATGCGGTGGCGATGCGGGGCCAGGGCCCGGTCGGGAGTCGGGGGGTCCTTGTCTTCCCTGCCAGTTCACCCCGCGACGCATGTGCTCGAGTAAGCAGGGTCGCGTTGCATCGGGTTGCGGCGATCTTTGTACATGTGTTTAACGAGTTGTAGATGCTCTTTGACAGGAAATTCTGGGCGCGAGCGCAGGACGTGGCTCGGCAATTGGGACGCGCCACCGCGGTTGTCGTGCAACAGAGCAGCACTTTACCAAAAACGATGTTTCCTTAACAAACAGCTCCTTCAAAATAGTCGTATCAAATTTCCGGTTCCAACCTTACCAGGCTTCAGGACCGTCCGAAAAACTGTTCACGATGAAAAGCTGGTCCTGGAGAAGGGTCAGGACATCAGGGGGTCGATGTCATGAAAAAATCATGACGTTGGGGGTACGGGTCGCGAGGGGAGGGAAAGGTGCCCGTACCGCTACCTTTTGCCTGTTCTCCCCTGTTCCGGGCCTGCTGGGAAGCCTTCGTCGCCACCGCTGGATGCGCTTCGAGATTCTGGCCAGAACGCACCCTTGGAGAGGTCCAAGGAGGAGCGGTGTCGGTTTGGCTTCTCTACCTCCATCGAGGAGGTCCACGAGGGCACCCCGAGCCCAGGACGGGAGACGTCTCGAGCGAGAGGGGGGGGACCACACCGCCAGGGGGATCCCCGTTGGCTCCTCGCGCTGCGTGGTCCCTGGTGGTGGCGGCGGTGGCGTCCCGCCTCCTCGTTCCTCCTCCGCGGCCGTCGCGGGGCCACCTCCCCGCCCGCCGGTGTCATCTCGGGCAACCCTTCGCGTCGTGAAAGCGCCGCGCCCGCGTGGCGCCGCCATTCCATTTTGGCCTCTCCCTCACGCGGTCCGTGTCCCCATCAGTCGGGCGAAGTGAACTATGCACATGCACCGCTCCTGGCAAGCCCCATCCTTGACCCAGGATCGGTGCATATGCCTTCCTGGCCAAGGTAGGAGGGCGTATGCACCGATCCTGGGCTCAGGATGGGCCTGGCCAGAGTCGGTATATGTGCATCGTTCTCTTTCCTCTACATCAGGAGCCCCACCGGGGGCGATGCTCACAGATGCGGTAACTATTCACAGCCGCAGACGGTGGGCCCCCTCGCCCGGCCCGTTCTCCAGGCTCCGTGGAAGGTCGCCTCCCCCCCCCCCCCCAATTTTTCCCATATCTTCCCCGACCTTCCTGGGGATCGACGGTTCCTCGTGTCCGCGTCTTTCTTCCCCCTTCTGACCTTCCAGGAGGGCTAAAACATAGCACCCGACCTAAAAAACCCATCCCAGAGCTGCTCTACGACGTGGTTTTAGGCTGTTTCGTTTCGTTGTTTAGGTTTTTGGGCCTCCCGTGCTAAAACATAGCTCTCTGGAAGGTCAGGGGTGTCCGTGTCTTTCTTCCCCCACTAATTTTTTTTGACCCTGGAGGAGGCCTTCGGAGGGGCCCGGGCGACCGCCCCCCCGTGCCAGGAGGACTCCAAGGACGCGCGGCTGCGCTTCGCCCTGCCCGGCGGGGGGTCCTCCGCGTCCGGCGGGGCGCCGAGCGGCGGCCTCCGCCGGGCGGCGGTCGCCATCGGTCGTCGGCCGCCGTCGTCGTCGTCGTCGTCGTCGTCGTCGTCGTCGTCGTCCGTCGTCGTCGTCGTCGTCCTCGTCTTTCGTCGTCGTTCGTCGCCGTTCGTCGTCGTCGTCGAAGTCGTCGTTGAAGTCGTCGTCGTCGTTGTCGCTTGCGTGGCCAGACACAGAGAGCAGCCTTAAACGTTGAAGGAAGGATTGCTCCTGAGAGTTCAGAAGGGATTTCTCTAAGGGAGCGTGGTCTCTCCTAGAACTAGGGTATCCCCGCGCCCCGCATCCGCCGTCCAATCCCCGCCGCCGAACTTCTCAATGGAAAGGCTGGGGCGGAGGAGCCCGCGCACGGGCCAGAGAGTGACGACGACGATGCTGCGGCCATCGGGGCCTAAGGTAGCGGCTTGGTTGGGTCGGCCAGCCCCTCGCTTTTCACCTCAAGCTGTGGTAGTCTACCACCTTATCATCCCTCTCCTTGTGATTACCTCGGGTAACTCACCCCTCCTGAAGTCCTCAAGGTGATGTTCCCACCCTGTTGCTCCACTGGCCCTCCGCTCCTGCTGATGCTCCATGGTCTTCCAGTGATGCCCCAAGCTCTTCATGATACTCCATCTGCTCTTACAAGTACCGATTTCACCATGCGCTGTTCTGTTCTTCCTGGTCCTCCATGTTCAGGATGGGCCTGTTGCGCACTCAACTGAAATAGTAAGTATCGTGGACGCCTGATGCGTAGGTACAGGTCCATGTCCAACCGACCCCCTTTGTGTTGACGTCGCTATCAATGTATACATATACGTATATCTAGATCTGTGTGCATAGACATTGTAACCTGGTCATGGTTCGTCAGGCCACGTGCCTAAGAAACCAGGTTAGGTACCGTCCTGTGCACTAGCTTTGTCCTTAATCGTGTGCGGGGTTCAGATCGCGGAGCTCCTCCTTCTCCTGCCTCCTCCTTCCGCTTTTCCCACTTGTCCCTAATATTCCATTCTCTTTTTTCCCAACCATCCTGTGGTGTTGGGTCCTCGTTTTGAAGAGACGGTGGCCCGCGTCTCCTCTCCTCCTCTCCTCCTCCTCCTCCTCCTCCTCCTCCTCCCTCCTCCCTGCGTTTCACCCACCCAGTGCATCGTTTCGTGGCCCCACAGGGAGCTCCACCGAAGGCCCCAGTGGCAGGGTTCGCATGGCGGCCTCGGGCCATTTCGGCACACCCCTCACGAGGATCGTGGCCCCATAGGGAGCTCCACCGAAGGCTCCAGTGGCAGGGTTCGCATGGCGGCCTCGGGCCATTTCGGCACACCCCTCACGAGGATCGTGGCCCCATAGGGAGCTCCACCGAAGGCGCCAGTCGCAGGGTTCGCATTCGTGGCATGTTGGCGCATGGCGGCCTCGGGCCATTTCGGCACACCCCTCACGAGGATCGTGGCCCCATAGGGAGCTCCACCGAAGGCGCCAGTGGCAGGGTTCGCATGGCGGCCTCGGGCCATTTCGGCACACCCCTCACGAGGATCGTGGCCCCATAGGGAGCTCCACCGAAGGCCCCCAGTGGCAGGGTTCGCATGGCGGCCTCGGGCCATTTCGGCACACCCCTCACGAGGATCGTGGCCCCATAGGGAGCTCCACCGAAGGCCCCCAGAGGCAGGGTTCGCATGGCGGCCTCGGGCCATTTCGGCACACCCCTCTCGATGATCGTGGCCCCATCAGGGAGCTCCACCGAAGGCGCCAGTCGCAGGGTTCGCATGGCGGCCTCGGGCCATTTCGGCACACCCCCCTCGAGGATCACTCCACCGAAGGCGCCAGTGGCAGGGTTCGCATGGCGGCCTCGGGCCATTTCGGCACACCCCTCACGAGGATCGTGGCCCCATAGGGAGCTCCACCGAAGGCGCCAGTGGCAGGGTTCGCATGGCGGGCCCGGGCCATTGCGGCACATCCCTCGTGAGGATCGTGGCCCCATATTTGTGCTGCTTCAACAACCGCGCCTGGGCGTCGTACTCCGCCCTGTCGACGTGCAACGCCACCTCCTCCCTCATGGCTCTCAAGGCCTTCTCCTGCTTGTGCTCCTCGGTGAGAGGGGCGCCGTCCTTGTCGTCGTCGGCGCCCGCGAAGACGGCCACGAACGTGTACCTGAGCATGTCGGGCTCCGGCGGGAAGCCGTGGCCACATAGGGAGCGCGGGCGAAGATGGCATTCACAATTGCGGTATTCACAACTGCGTATGGTTGGGTCCTTCGCCAGGCTAATTCCCGCTCCATGTGCCTCGTCCTCCTTCTCTCACTCCCTGTCCTCCTCCTCCTCCTCCTCCTCCTCCTCCTCCATGTCTCACCTCCCTGTCCTCCTCCCTCTCCTCCTCCGCCCCGGCCTCTTTCTGTTTCTTGCTTCCCCTTCTCCTCATCCTCCTCCTCCTCCTCCTCCTCCTCCTCCTCCTCCTTCCCTATTCGCCTGCCGCCTCATCCTCCCGCGTTTCCTCCTCTCTCCCCCCTCCCTCGCCCTGCTCTTCCCTCGTCATCCGCCTCCCGCGCTTTCTCCCGGTGGCCCTCCCCTCCTTTGGGTCCTCTTCCTGCCATCCTCCTCCTTTATCCTCCTCCCGCTCTTGTCCAGTCCCTCCTCCTCCAGTGATGCCTCCATCCAGTCCCTCCTCCTCCAATGATGCCTCCATTCTCCCCCTTTCCTCGCCGAGGCCAGGCGCTCTTCGAGGGCGGCGCCGCGAACCCAGCGTTCAGGTGCGGCGGCGGCGGAGGCCCTGGCGGGCGTCGCCGCCGCTGCCGTCGTCGCCGCTGTCGCCGCCAGAGCCCGTTCCGATCCGGTCGATACGGTTCCTCGGCTTCGGGCGAATGGGACCTTGACAAAGGGGGTGTCGAAAATGTGCGCAGTAGTTCGTTCAATCACTCGTGCGGATGTGCACCTCGTGCAACAATATCAGCACGTGAATGCCACACGCCATGCGCACAGGATGAACTGTTGCATGCGTGTTTTTGTTGCGCCCCCATTTCGAAAAACCCTCTTTGCCCAGAACCAAGTACAGTATCCAGTTGACTGCGGCACACCCCGCCACTGGGCCTGCGCGACAGCGCAGCAGGAAGGAGGCCGAGTGTAGGACAGGTGCTGGGGGGGAGGGGGGGTCTCCAGGTTTCTCTGTTGTGGCCAGCGGACATGGGCCCTGAGTTGCCTGATTTCGATTTCGACGCGATCGAAGGTTGTCTCAGAAGCTTGAAGGCCAGTAGCGGCGCTGGCTTCGATCGAATCTCTCCGCGGCAACTTCGGAACCTCCTAGGAGTGCTTCCGCCAGTTCATTCTGACCATCGAGCGCAGTTTCGCGTGGCCGCACTGTTGGTCGCAGTTAGCTTTCATTTTGAAACGAAAAGGCGGCCTTCGCCCAATTGCGTTGTCGCGTATCGCTTCCAGGTTCCACGGGCGCGCCTGCGCCGCCCGCGCATTCGTCGTTGGCAAGAGCAACTTTCGGGAGTCCTAGGGGTTGGATCGTCTCGTCTGTGTCCCAGCTGCCTTCGCCGCGTGGGCGCAAGCGCGTCATTGACCCCTTTTTCAGGCACAGTGCTACTGGTCTTGCACATGGTCAGTGCTTTGTTCCCCGTTTCGATGGTTAAACCCTGGTTAATTAAGGTTTTCCCCAGTCGACCGGGGAGATCAGCAGTGGCCGGAAGACTACGCTCTTATTAATCGTAATCGTGCGTCGTCCAAGCAAAAAACGAGAGATAATATCCACATCTTTAAGGAGACCGCACAGGCTCCAGGAACCAATGAAAACGAAATCACCCAATTGCCGGGAAGTAGTAGAAGTAGTAGTACTAGTAGTACTAGTAGTAGTAGTAGTAGTAGTAGTAGTAGTAGTAGTAGTAGTAGTAGTAGTAGTAGTAGTAGTAGTAGTAGTAGTAGAAGTAGAGTAGTAATATTTGTAGTAGTAGTAGT